CACACACACACACACACACACACACACACACACACACACACACACGGTCTCAGTCTCCTGTTCTAAATCGTCTCGTCATTCGAGCTGAGAACAGGACGACGACGAAGCGGCATTTAAGAACACAATCTCACCACGACGTCCATTTAGTAGTTCAGGAGCTTTCGAGTGCATCACATTGATCTTCTTCAGCAGATGAAAACTAACCAGGTGTCACAGAAATGCAGATGTTCACACCTTAAAGTGAACATGAACGAGACGTACTGAGAAAAACTACAATTCCACGACAACTCCATGTGTCCATGAAGATCACATGATTTGATCAAAATATATATTCTCTTCTCTGTACTGCTCCCCTCATTTCTATGTTTGTGTCACAGATGATAAGTAGGGCAGCGCTGCAGCTTATTACAACAAAAACTACAAACTAGTTTCGTGCCCTTTACGCGACTCTTCAGCTCAAACCTCAGCCTCTAAAGAAATAACACCTCATAACATTTACAGAGAACTGGGACACCTGAAGCACCCACACAGGATGTGATGAACACACACCTGGATTAGAGAACACTGTTCGACTGTGGCTAAGTGGATAGCAGGGCCGTCCTTCACTCAGAGGATCGGCGGTTCGATCCCCGGCTCCGCGAGTTGCATGTCGATGTGTCCTTGAGCAAGACACTTAACCCCAAAATTGCTCCCGTGGCTGTGCCTACAGTGTATGAATGTGGTAGAATTGTAAGTCGCTTTGGATAAAAGCGTCTGCTAAATGACTCACCGGTCCACCCACAGCACCACCACGAGGGACATCTCGTTGTTTGTTTATAGCAGAAGAAGAATAAAAAGATAGTAGCTGCAGGAAATAAAGACAGGAAGCAACAGCTGTCAGAATAAAAGCAGCATCAACTGTAAAGGGGGTAAAGTTTGACGAGGAGTCAGTGGGCAGCCGGAGGAAGATCAAGACCTTTAAATCTGATGCCAGAGACGCGCTTCGATGAAGACAGAGAAATTAGTCAGGACGCTCCAGAGAAAGATATTCATCGAACGTGAGCCAAGAACCAAAACTAGGAGCTGAAAGAGGCCAAAACTCTCAGTAGAGCCGGTGATGCAACTCTTCTGACATCATAGAGTCACTGCTAATGTTAAGATAACTAGACTCACAGAGGCCATCTTTCCTCAGAGCAGTGTATTCAAACACCTTCCAGCGTCTAGATTTATGGGAATCTGACACTCGGGTGTTACTGCAGCTCCACTTTGTGATTCAGACAAAGTGTAAATCTTAAACTACATTTAAATTCCAGTCATAGCATCCAAACACTGTGTGCACCGATACATGAGGGACTGGTGATGCATTATTGTTCAACACAAACACAGGAAGAGGTGGGGTCTGTGCTCCCTGATAAGAATCAGTCGGCGGAGAGACGGAGGAGGAAGAGGAGGTACAGACGGCCGCTGGGGAAAGTTTATGGAGGACAGAAAGAAAGAAGAAGAGCTGTTCCTCCCTTAGAGACGCCTGCAGACTCACAAACCTTCATAAATCTACCCACACAGAGAAAGAGCATGACAAGGCTATTCCCACCGCGCCTCTCTCTCTCTCTCTCTCTCTCTCTCTCTCTCTCAAAAACAAAAGAAAGAGAGGTGGAAGTAGAAAGTCTCCTCATTTATTCACTTAAATGTCTCGTTAAGAGCGTCTTATTGTCCAGCTGTCAGCATCTAAAAGAGAGATCTGTTCTGGGGTCAGTTTATCTCAGACGTGGGGAAACAAAAAGTAATATTCAGATTGTAACGACCCGTTTTAAAGTTAACTTATTGATTGATGAGTAAACTAAACTAAGAAAAAAAAAAAAAATGGACGGCCTGCTGAATGGAGAATCACAGCACCGGAGCGTCGGGGAAGCAGCGCGAGGACGTTCAAAACAAAGCGCTGGTGGCAAAATTACCAATAAAGTTTGCAGCTGCTTTACTTGACAACAACAACACATCTCTCACGTCTACGCATCAGAAGCGAGTCTAAAAACCCGGAAATGAGTCACTTCCTGTTCCCTCGTCTCAAGTCATCGAGGTATTATTAAATAAATGATGAATATAAATAAATTTCTGGAATAAGGTCTGCGTTTAACACAAGCTGAAGAGTTTAGAAAGGACAGACTGTGACGAAGACGTGACGGAGACGTGACAGAGAGGCGACGGAGACGTGGGGCGCTCTCTGCTGGTCACTCACCTCTCTGCAGCGTCTGAGCTCTGGACTCCCTCCCCACACCTGAGAAGTGGTTGTCCCCAAAAGACGGGTTGATTCCTCCAGCTGGAGACAAAGAGACAAAGACTCACATCAGAACTACACAAACCAGATTCTGATTCTTCTAGACAAAACCATAATAACTTAGTTTGGGCCCGTCTAGATATCAAAACATTGTTTTCTATCCATTCACCAGAAAGTCTGAAACTTATATTACAGATGAACAATATAATGAAATAAATCTGTTGATCCACAAATAAATTAACAGGGAACTGTTTTAATAGATGTTTTATTGTTTTAAGTCACTTTTAAAGCCAGAAAAACCCAAACATTGATGCTTCCGGGTTATTGAATCTGTCACTTTGCCGTATTTACTCTTCTTACATTACAGTTAATTTAATATTTAGAGGTTTCAAACCGTTAGTTGGATAAAATTTGCATTTTGCAGACTTCACATTGGACTCATTCTTTTAATATTTTTAGTTTTACAGAGAATAATCTGTAGTCCAGCTCTATAACGAACCTTAAGTAACTAATGACGACGATATTTAAAAGCAGATCCGGACAATAAACTGCTTCTTATTGAAAGATATTCAAATAAATAATCTCCAGTTTTCTTTTCTTCCATGAATCGTTATTCGTCTATGAAATGTATTCAAACTAAAACAAAACAGTTGTTTGAGTCCACAATAATACATTATACCCAAATAATATCCTATTTACTGTCATTAAAGACTGAACCTCAGTATTGTGGAGTTATCAGACAGCACCCTCTAGTGGACGTCAGAGGGAACTACAACCAAGACTCAGCAGAGAGAGACGTCCTGCAGGCTGAAGGTTAAAGATAATCTGGAGGTAAATGTTACACACGGATAAGCAGCTGTGGACACACGGACACACACACGGACACACACACATATATGCATATATTTAACATGGACTCTCAGAGCAGCGTTTAGATAAGAGCCTCAACACCAAACACACAAGTAGAAACTTGTTTTTTAGGATTAAAATCAGTTCTTTCCTTAAAAGCAGCTGCAGGACGTCATTGTTTGGAGGCGGACTTAAAAAGGAAACCGGTGATATTATTTGTTGACATTTGTTTTTCCAGTTTTATCTTATTTTGAGAATATAAAAACAACATTTAACTAAAAGTCTAATTTAACAGAAATTGTTTAGAACAGACAGGAAGTTATATTTATCATTTACAATCATCTGAGATTCTAAGTTGCATTAATTAAAACAAAATATCAGAATGATGATAAAATAGTTAGAATTAATATTTACCATTTACTAAAACAGCTCGTTGTGGAGCTTTTAAAACAACAAAACAATTCATTAACTTTTATTAAAACTTGTGTCTCATGTGTTTCCTCTCAGGGCGCTTCACAATAAACGATCACTGAAGTTAAATTCAGGGTTTTGATGACGGCCATCAAGATAAAACAATTATATCTTTTATTTAGAATTAATAACTGATGTACAAATAGTCATTCTGGGAGTGAAGTATTCCTTTAAGAAGAACGTCCGTCTTACACAATCAACGCCCACAAAGGAACAAACACCAGTAAAATATATCTTTAACAGATAATCAATAAATATAGAAGGGTTCAGCTGATCAGATCATCTTCAGCTTGTCAAACTTTGACCTTTCTGACCCACGTATTCTCTCTCTTATTGTAAATCACATCAAATTATCCTTCATTAAGAATTTAATAAGAGCAAAAAACACTTCTGATCATTTGTCTTTATCATCTAATATATTATTTAATTTTTCTATCAGAGCAACAATGAGACAGATGTTTTATCACCAGAGGAAAGAGAAGTATTCAGATCCTTTAATTCAGTAAAAGTACTAATACCACACAGTATAAATACTCCGTTACAAGTAAAAGTCCTGCATTGAGAATGTTACTTCAGTAAAAGTATGCAAGTATAATCATGAAAATGTACTTAAAGTTTAAAAGTAGAAGAATGTTATTAAATATTATATTACATTATTATTACTCATTAATGTAAAAGCAGTTTTACTGCAACTAAGTATTTATATTCATTATGGATTAATCGGTTTGTTTTCTCCATTAATCGACTGTTTGGTTCGTTAAAATTCTTAAAATAGAAACTATGATACTAAGTATCAACTTTAACTGTTTCATTTTGTCCAACCAACAGTTCAAACCTCAACATTCATCAGTTTAACTTCGTTTAAGACGAAGAAAAGCAGCAAATCATCACTTCTGAGAAGCTGAAACCATGAAATGTTGAGTGATGATTGACTAATTAAGTAATTGATTAATTGACGTATAGTTTAGCAGCTTATTTTAAAAGTCCCTCGTGTTTTTTATGTTACATTTTCCTTTTTAAAGTAAGTAAAGCTGTCAGATGGATGTGAAGTAAAAAGTGTCATGACATGGAAATAGAAAAGTACCTCAAATGTGTACTCGAGTACAGTTCCTGTGTAACTGAACTCGGTTACGTCGCTAGAAAACAACACGAGACATTTGTTCGTCTCTCTCACCGTCAGTGGAGACAAACTGTCCGACAGCCGACGACCCTCCGCCTCCCGTCTCCACGAACTCCACCTCGGACACGATGATGTTGTCCTCCAGCACGGAGCCGCAGGTCATGCAGACGGCATCTCCGCGGGCCTGGTCCACGTCGATGTCCGAGCTGCCGCAGTTCTTGCACACCTTGGAGCTCATGGTGTCACTCGGCGAGCCTCAAAGCCTGATGGGGGGGAAAAAAAGAGAGAAATCAAAATCCTCAGATGTATTTTTTGGAGATATTTTATGGAGTTTTATCTGTTCCAGAGGTTGAATGTATCTCAGAATATTTCCTCAAGAACTGTACTTGTGAAGTATCTGTACTTTGAGTATTTCCATTTCACCAGGGTTTAAACTTCAAAAAGAGAAATATTGGACTTCATAGTTTCATTTATCTGACAGCTGTAGTTACTACTAAGTAGTAATACAACACTGTGAAGATACTTCTCTACAAAGTAAACCTTACTTCAGTAAAAGTATTGTAGGCTAAATGTACTTAAAGTAAAGTATTGCTATTGCAGTAAAATGTCAGTGTTTCACTGTTATGCATTATGTTTCTGGATTAATATCACTGCTGCATTAATGTGTATGTTACATTTTAACTCTTTTATATCCTGTTGTCTAGTTTAATCTACATTAATGCATCTTATTCTATAAGATCATCACACCTTTGCGTCTCTAAAAAGAACAAACAGCTGTTTTGAGCTTCATGTGTTTCTAGATGATCCAAGAAGATTAAAAAAATGTGTTTATTTAGCTGAAGAAGAAGGATTTAGAAGAGTAAAAAGTACATCTACCTCAGAGTATTTCTACAGTGTGGTATTGCTGCTTTTACTGGTACTTTCACAATATTGTGATGCTCGTACTTTTATACTTAAGTAGGACTCAAAATGCATGCATTTTATTTCTAACAGAGTACTTCTACAGTGTGGTATTGGTACCTTTACTTTTCATACATGAAGTATATTGTGATGCTAGTACATTTATACTAAAGTAAACTTCATAATGCATATATTTTACTTGTAACAGAGTACTTCTACAGTGTATTATTACTTCTTTAAAGTACCACAGTCGTTGCTCCACTGTCTGCGGGTTCATCTCATGAATCGTTCGCAGTGATTCTGCAGAACTTCACCGGCTCATCTGCTCTCGTTAGCCGGCTTTAGCTACGTGGCACTGCACCGGGAGAGGCTAGCTCAGCGTTTTCTCTTTTAGCCGAACTACGAGTCCTTTACGGGCTAACGTTACCAACCACAGCCGTGAAGTGTGCCACGTGTTAACCCCTTACATCGATCTTAATTTATATCATTAGTAATTTAACTGGTAACGGTTAAAATGAGCTGTGGACACGTTGACAGCTGAGGACATGAAGCTAACGGGGCTAGCCCGCTAAACGGACTCTAACACACTTTGACAGACCGGTAGATGATGTAATGAGTGCTTAATGATCACAGCAGCCTCACAGGAAGGTAAAACACACATAACGTGTGTCGGTGTTAACGTACCTTCAGTCCGGTGAACGGTAACCGTCTGCTGCCACGCTAACACGCGTGTCACCCCTCCACACCTCGAGTGTTTTCTGCCGTTACTCTGCTTGTGACGGTGTTTCTCATTGACTGGGACACTTGTCGCTTTTGTCGCTGTTGTGATTAAAGTGTAACCGGTGACGTGACAGCGCGGAGGTTCGCTAAATGCTGTAATATCGCTGCAATCCTCAACACAACACACCCAACACGTGCGTTTAATGCTGTCGAGTCACGGACGAGACCAACTCGGGCCGGAGGGGGTGGCGTGGTGACAAGATGTTGTTTCATTTATGCAATAATAGCAAAAGTGGATTGTTTTTTTAAAAGGTGAGGCAGATTAGTATTGTAAACTTTATGTTTAAAGTTAGGGAAATGTAAAATTAGTAACACATTTAGCATATAAAGAGTTAACACCGGCAACGGAATCCCCTATTTATATAAATGCACTTCTTATGCCCCTGCTGTTAAATAGACAGGTTATGTTTAATGAGGAAGAAAACACAACAAAGTAGAACATAGAAAATAAAGTCAAATCACGTGTCTGTTTCTTTATTCACATTTTACATTCACCATGTTTACATCACATTTATTTGTTGCATGTTGATTTATACATTGTGTTATCAAACCAGTGGTGGACTGTAAGTAGAACTCACATGTACTCACACTATTGTTGAAGTATTTGTATTTTACTTTTTTCCATTTTGTGCTAATTTATATTTCTAAATTTTAAAAAAATGTATTCAAGGTTTATTTGAAGTAAATATGAGGCTTAAGCAGAGTGAGTTAGTCAACCCCAAGTTGGTATCTTCAAAAGTTTAAAATGAAAATATACGTATATATATATACACAATATATAAAAGAGATATATACCCCAAGTCAAAAAAAAACGTAACAATAGCAATTAAAGACAAAGTTACGAGGTAAAGTGAGCCAGCAAGTGTAGTCTAGACAAAAGTGTACACCAGAATAATATATGTGATTACATAATAATACATAATATAAATGTAATATAGTATATGATTTAAAATGTTGTAAATTTCATCTCCATGTATAGTTTTCTATTTTTTCTTTATTCTATCCTTTTTTATAAAAGGAATAGAATATGTACGATTTGATGTACGCATGTGTAAACCAAATCGTATCGTCTGCTAAACTTGAAACAGGTTTCATAATTACAGAAATCATTATTGGTGTTTAACTTGAATAAATTGGTTGAAAGAGATTATTTCTCAACAGAAAGCGGTGCAGGATTAGAAAGTGGAAGCAGCAGCAGGATGCCGGCTGCTGACGGCGACCTCGGTAACTCAGACATCTTGAGGAGTCCGGAGACCTCTCTGGAGCCAGGGGGGGGGGGGGTTCACCCGTTCTGGGCCGCTAGAAATCTGGCCGCGTTTTAAGGGAGATGTCCCCTATGTAGATATAAATATGTTATTCTAAGGTAACAGAAACACAATGATTCTTTGTGATTATACACTAAAGAAAACATACTTATTAATATTATATTTGAGTGCATTCCACCCTTTGCAGGTTAGACGGTTTCTTTTTGTCTTATCTGTGAAGGTTTAGTCTCAAATCTGGAGGCTGATACTTTACCTCATCAGGACGAGACAGCGTCCTCAGCTCAAGTGTTTAACCAGTAAAACAAATATGTGTGTAAAATGCTAATGAATGAAGTTACATTGTATAGTTAATAAAAGCTTACTTTTGTGACGAAGACTTCCTGAAATCATGATGAGACCTCTTGACTTCTTCTCAGGCAACAAACCAGATCTAGAGGAACCTCCACCTTCCATCCTCCATCTGGTAGACGAGAGAGAGAAAGACATTTGATTACAAAACAATATAAAGGAGAATGAATAAAAACTTTTTCAATGTGCTTTTTCCCCTTTTTTTTCTTTCATTGTTTAATCTAAATCAGGGGTCTTCAACGTTTTTCAGGCCAAGGACCCCCAAACTGATAGAGAGATGGAGCAGGGACCCCCGACTATATATATTGTATAAAATTGTGTTTTATATCAAACTGGGCCTAGTACCATGTATACCTCTTATTGTGCATTCAATACTAAGCTATTCAAATAATACACAGGTTCATATATTTATGTTTTTATTGTAAACATGTGGAAGGTGCAGTGAGTAGGGAGGCCGTGCCACTGCCATTTATAAACATACCGTGTCAGCTGATACCAATGCCAATGTCAACATTGTTTGTCACTTGCATGATGATCATGAACACAAGCTATTCAAACTGATGTTTATATTTTAAAGATAAATGTGGAAACGAAAAATGAGTGATGGCCTATTAGTGCCACTGCCATGCATAAACATACCTGTTATCTTGCATACTATACTGAACTATTAAAATATGGAGACAAGTGTATTGGCATACAGATGAGTATATGTATACGTGTTTGAGGATCTTGAAATAAATAATTCCAGAAAAGGACGTTGATTTTACTGACTCAGCTAAGAAAGCATGATTTTAAAACCAGAAATGACTCTTCTAAAGTCTACACGTCAGCTAACACAGATACTTAAATTATAAAGTCACATAATAATAATAACTATTAATAATGACTTACTCCTTGTCACAAAGTCCATATATGTCTGTTGAAGAGTTCTTCTCCTCAGACGTACTGAGTCCTGGTCAGTCTGTAACACACACACACACACACACACACACACACACACACACACACACACAGGTATGACTTGGAGTTAACAGGTCCTTCTCTACAGAAGTAAATCCAATCAGAATGGAGCTATAATGCACAACATGACCAGTAGAACTGGACCATTATATTCCAATAAGAAGCGGTGATGTGACTCTTTGCTTTCTAAATGTCCACAGCTGAGTTCATTTCCATCATTTAATCACATGAACTCGACAATCAGCGCTAGAATAACAACTTTTAACCCGAGCTGAGCTCATTGATCTGACTGTAGTTTTATCAAGTCAATGCAACATCTGCAGGAGTCACATACTCTAGATCTGTGCATTTGAGTAACGGTCTACTTGTTCCATTTTATAGATTTATGAATTCAGAAAATAGAGAAAGATAAATACAGATCGAGTTTGAGCTTTTGTCCACTGTCAAGTGAAAAAATATAATAAAAATAACAAAAATAATTGGTTGTTGTGATATAAATAAAAACATTTAAAAGACCCAGTTACAACACCTTTAGAGGGTGAAAAATAACTGCGTTAAAAGAGCACGAGGAGCAAAAGCGAACCTAAACTACTTTAACCAAAATTTTAGAAAAACATTTAGAGATAAACAAGACAAATAACAAACAATGCATAAAGAAAAAAATATGAATAAAAGTATGAGACTTATGATGCACATATACCTTATGATGGTATTAAAATAATCACACAGAAGCTGTCAGCGACCGATCTGTTCCAGACGCCCAATCTGTTCTGCGCATGTGCGGGAGCGCCTCGAGGGAAGACCCGCCCCTCTGCCTCTGATTGGCTACATGCTGCTAAGCGCTTAACGTTAGCCTAGCTATGATGCTAACCAGCGCTTCGAACTAGACGGGCCCGGGAGCAGCGACTGAGTCACGGCTGCTCACGTTTTTGTACCCGTAGAAACGAACCAGGGAGCGGGAACATATCCGGCACTGACAACGGAAACAACTTTATTCCACCGATATAGTCTAAAGTAGCGCATTTCCGTTTTTTACTCTTTCCGTTCTAGCCTTCACAATAAAAGCCCCGGACACAGAAAGTCAGAGGGCTCCTTCACTAAGAAAATCAACAAAAAATATCTTAATCGGGATTAAAATCACATAATGCAGCATAGTTTATCACGTATTGTGTTCGGTATTAAAATCACATAAGGCAGCATAGTTTATCACGTGTTGTGTTCGGTAATGAGGTTGCAGATAAACTTGCCAAAAGAGCATTAAACAAAAATAATATTTTAGAAATTTGTTTTGGGAGGTCAGAAGCAGAATCAGTAATACAGCGAAGAATTATTACATCTTGGCAGGAAATGTTG